AAGTAGTAAACTCTTTCCAATAATGAATCGGGCCTGTGTTACTATTCAAGAGACTTCCCCTCACTTCCTGTGCTGGGGACAACTCTTTTCCTATCCCTACACACCCGCCGAAAATCGTACGATTCTCGGCGGGTTTTCGAACATGTTCGTAAGATAAGTAGTGCGACCTTACAGTAGTAGAGGTCGCACGGCTTCCACGCACAACGGGTTCTCCCTTTCGGTTCAGCCGAGCATGCGGTGGCTGGTCAACCGAGGTGAAGTGAGCTGAATGCAGCCGATGTATGGCTAAAAATAGCTATACAGGCAGTCCCCGGGTTACGGACGTCCGACTTACGGACAATCCGTACTTACGGAGTCCACAGTTCTCGTAAATGTACCGGCAGCCGCCGGTACATTTAAGAGAACTGTGGCTGGAGCGGCCTGTGTCCCTGCTGCTCTCCGCACCTGTGTTGGCGGAGGCAGCAGGGACACAGACCGCTGCATTCTGCCGCTGCCCCCCCTTACCTCCGCTAATGTCCCGGCCTCCTCTTCTGCCAATCCTTCGGTTTACCCCGGTCCGGACGATCATCTGCTCGCAGTCCCGGTCAGGCCGCTCCTTCGCTGTCCCGCCCCCGGCCGCCTCTTCATTGCAGGCTGGGAGCTATACCCAGCCTGCTATTGGATATTGTCAAATGCAATAGCCAACAGCAAGCTGGCTATTGTAACCGCCCACTGCTTGCTGTCAATCAGCACGGGAGGACCTGATAGAGAACTTTCTCCATCAGGCCCCTCCTCTGCTGATTGGCAGTGGGCAGATGCAATAGCCAGCTTGCTATTGGCTATTGCATTTTACAATATCCAATAGCATGCTGGGTATGGCTCCCAGCATTAAAATAATTTAAAAAAAAAAAAGTTTAAAAAAATTAAGACAAAAATGTAAAAAAAAAAGTTGGATAAATAAAAATTTAAAAATGCAAACAAAAGTTTTTATAAAATATAAAAAACTTTTTTTGGTGTCGTCATTTTAAATAAAAAATTTTTTTTTTGTTTATATTATAATCTTCTGAACAAGGGGAACAGACAGCAAAACAAACGTGACCCTTCCCTATGCTATCCAAAATGAAATAATGTTTTTTTTGGCTGGAGTTGCACTTAAAAAATTTACCTGTTCCGACTTGCATACGAATTCAACTTAAAGTGACTTTAAACCCTCAGATTTTTTAACATAAACAAATACTGTAATGTGTGCCTTACTGTAATCCATGGTTGTTTCCCTTCTCTTTGCTGCTCTTCCTTTTAAATCCTCATGTCTTCTCAGGCTTGGGGAGAACTTCCCTTTGCAGCTCAGGGCCTCTTCCTGTAGTGCTGGCTCAGGTTACAAACCTACACACAGACACCGTGTATCCATTCCTGAGACAAGGCAGTCTGCTGCAAAACAGAAGTTCTGCCCAGCATGAGAACAGATACAGATTTAAAAGGAAGAGCAGCAAAGAGAAGGGAAACAACCATGGATTACAGTAAGGCGCACATTACAGTATTTTATGTTAAAAAATCTGAGGGTTTAATGTCACTAAGTACAAACCTAAAGTCCCTAACTTGTATGTAACCCGGGGACCGCCTGTTCCAGTCTGCAGTGAATAGCTGAAGAGGCTTTGGCTTCTTTAACTTGGGCTCGATTATTCATTCAGCTACTTCCGGCAGCTTAGTAAATAACCCCCTAAATGTTTCAGGATTGTAATAAAATCGTTTAATGTGAATAACGTTTGGTATGTTTCACCACATGACCTTTTCAGAATATGTTGGCATAAATAAAGTCTTGTATTAGGCTCTCCAAAAAACAAGCTTAATGTCTCTCACTTGCCTTGTGGGAAACTAAATAACATGAAACTTCCAGGCTAGATTTGGGAAGCTGAAAACGTATGTTGTGCAAAGTTTTCGAGGACATTTGTGGAGGTTTAGGCACTTTATTACACATTTAGATACAGTAAGCCATTTTTACATAAAAAATGTTTAGGATATCCCGGGAAATCTCCCCAGCAGAGAAACCGTAGAGGTTCTAATTTCTTCTCACTCTATAATTCACTAATCACTAGAGGACCTACCAAAACGCTTTATGAAAGTTATCTGGGTGTACTTTTATATACCAAGTGCTTCTTCACCTGGCCATATCGGCAGACAGCACTTCATTGATGACTACATTGTAACAATGTATTTTTTTTTTCCAATCAGATATTTTAAATTACTATACGTAATTTACACTTATTTAGAATAGTTATGGTACAATCGGATCAAAGGGTCTTAAAATTGGAATTTTTTTTTTTCTTTCTTGTAAACAAATACTATTCCTACTTAATTAACCACCTATTAACCCTTAGTTAACCCCAGTAAGCTGTAAACCTCACCACCATCCCCTCCTGCTCTTCACTAGTATTTCTTAGCTGATATGTAACACAGAGCAGCGCCCAGCGGGGAGGAGAGAAATCACGGATGCAGTGCTATTTCGGCCAAAAAATTGCACTTTCTGCATTTTACCAAAAGTGCCATTTTGTCCGATTATGTTTCAGTGGCCGATATGTCGGTGCATCCCTAGTATATATATTATTTTTCTATTTATTTTGTTTAAAGAAAATATATTCCATCTATAAATTAATTTACCATGCTTTGTACCAAAAACAAGTGTCATAAACAGGACAAATCACAGAATGTTTGGCTTTAGAATACATACAAAATTAAATATTTTTGGCAAATTACTGGCAAAAAGCCTTGTTTGTTCCGTAAAATAATATATGTATTACTTCGGTTTAGTAAGTAATAGTGTATGTTGAAATAATAGGACCGCAGCTAAAATCCAACACATATACACACCGCTCATATCCCAAATGCTGATTCTAACCTTGACTCCTTCCTAGGTGCAGGCCACAAAACGTACCACCATCCAAGTTGCAACAAACAGTTGCAAGTCCAACAAAAGCCGCACTCCACAGGAATTCCAGCGGGATAATACCTTTGATTTAATAACGGGGCAATAATGTGCACACCGTTTTGTCTCTTAGAGGCTGAGGATCAGTATGGGGAACTCAAACGGTGTGTGCGTTATTGCTCCGTTATTAAATCAAAGATTTTATCCTGGTGGAATACCCATGGAGTGCAGCTTTTGTTGGACTCTTGCAGCCATAGCTAAAATGTCAATATTGCTCAGGACCATATGTTGTAACATAGGTACAGGAGCTAAATGTATTCATGAAAAAGAGAAAGTTTGGAGCTTTAAACTTGAAATCATTTCAGACAAACAATTATATATTTTACTTTTCGATTTGAAAAGTTTGGCAGCAAATACTTATTCTTAGATTGTCAATCTTTACATTTCCCTGATCCCAAATAAGAAAGTGTGCACATTCTGTATTTAGGGGTGCTCGGAGGGGTGCTGGTCCTGTTGTGTTTGGCTTTTCAGTTGTGTGCACATTTTATGGATAAATCATGGTGTATTGTGCTTTTTTCAGATGAAAGAATAAGAATCCGTTAAAGAAAATCCACTTCCTCTGATTGCTGTACACTTTGTTTATATGCTTAATGTGAATTAATGGATATTGTTTGGAAGAGGAAACATAGCTGGGTGACTTAACCCATTGAGTGTATGTGTGTTGGAAAAGAAACCTATGGTTTTAAAAAGTAGCACAGCGTGTGTGTGCATGTAGAGTAATGTTTTTTTATGACATGGCTGTATGTGGGCCACATAGTCAGAATCTGATTTTCTTTTTTTCTGCTGATCTCCGTTCCCTGATGAGCAGGATGTCTGGAATGTAGCATATCAAAACAAGATGGTAGCTTACTCCTTACATGGACAGAGGGGACACTTACCGATGTGTGCTCAGCAACATGGTCTGACACAGATGGTACAGGTATTCACACCAATACTTCTGTAGCTTTAGTGGCCCTTAAAGAAGGATCGCGGGGGAGAATAAAATGGGCTGTTGCCAATACTTAGAGCCCGTGTGGGACAAGTAGGTTCTGTGGCTTGTGAGCTGAGTGATCATGTAACTGCTGATTGCTCAGCTCCTGGCTTTTCCTTGCAGAGAGAAGTGAATATCAGTCACCGCTCCCCACAGGGGAGGCTTGGTTCACACCCAGGCGATTGAGCTGTTTTTGCGCACGCTTTTTTGTGTGTGATTTTTGCTTTAAAAACTGCACGAGAACCACATCGTTTTCAATGCATAGAGATGTCTATGGGACCAAAACCGTGCAATAAGTGCCCGAAAATGGCTCCTGCACCTTTTTGCGCGACACGCAATTTTGTCCACTCGACGCAATGCAAAGGTGTGAACTGCCTCCATTGACTTGAATGCAAATCTGTGTTTTGCATGATATCGTGTGTCAAAATCTACATGATAAATCGCCTAGGTGTGAACCAGGACTCAAGGGGCAAACAGGGGAGGGAGCTGGCTTTGACTCTAGAGAGGCAGAACCAACTGTCAGTCAGGAAGCCTGGTGGATCTTACCCGGCTGCAGCATGGCTCTGCACTGTCAGTGTTTAGTAGACAGTGGCCCGCTATATGCTGACTATGGGTCCCGGGTGTACATTAGTAAATGTACTTCTGTAAAGTCTAAAACAAGGTTTGGCTTTACATTTAATAGATGACGGTTTGTACCTGGATAAATGTTGGCTTCTTTACTATTGGGGGCTGATATATAAAATGTGGAAGATGGCAAAATCCCTCTTACCCTGAGCAACCCTTAAATACTTACTGCTGAACCCTGCAGGACTTTTAGGGCTGATTCACAGCAATAGGAGGCCACATTTCTGCTTTCAGATTGGAGTCGTATTGTAATTTGTTTTTTTTTTTATCTGCTGTTTCCTGATTAACAGTATGTCTGGAATGTAGCATATCAAAACAAAATGGTCGCTCACTCCTTATGACACATCTGCCAGTGCCCCCTTGCTTGTCTCAGGAACATAGTCTGTTTAACCCTATGGGAGCCAGCACAAATCTCAATTGTCTTCCCTCTCTTTTTTTTTCTGGCAGAATGACGAAAAACGTAGCCTCGCACTGGGCGGCCATGTGGGTTTCGACAGTCTTCCGGATCAGCTTGTTAGTAAATCTGTCACCCAAGGCTTCTGCTTCAACATCCTCTGCGTGGGTAAGCTGCATGTGGACATACTTTTATAATGCTGTGAATAAAGCTTATCTAATGAAAGTTTGAATGTTTTATAGGATAGCCTTTTTGAGAGCTTTCATTACAGGTCCATGCTGTTGTCACAAGGCATCTGCGTTATACCTGTTTGATTTGGTTATTTCACTGCCAGTAGCCAAAATGAATTTCTCTTTTGTAATGCAAAAAAGCAGTGGAGATCACAGGGAAGACAGACATCTTAAAGCAGAACTCGGGGGAATTCAGCCCCACTGCAAGGGTTAATCCGTTAACCCTTGCAGTGGGGCTACTCCCACACTGCAAGGGTTAAGTGCTTGTTTTAGTATAGGGCTGAAAATAAGTTACTCACCTGATCCTCAGAGCTGGCCATCTGTGACATTGCTCCCTCCAGCCTGTCTCCTCCGCTGCAGCAATGGTATGTCCCTTACACGGTGTATAGAATGTCCTATACACAGTGTATAGAATGTGATGAGTCAAGAACCTTAGAGGGCTGCATCAGTAGGTGACAGAGGCTCCAGGGACTGGTCAAACAGCAAGCTGGCTCTGATGATTGGGCAAGTATGACTTTGTTTTGGTCTAGGGCTGAAAATAAGCACTTAATCCTTGCTGTGCAAGGGTTAATAAAAGATTTTTCCCAGAGTTCTTTAACCACTTCACCCGGGCTCAAGTACATACACGTCACACGCTTGAAGTGGTTATACCAAGAACATGTTATTGCTGTTCCTATACAAGTGATCCGGCTTCTGTACAGGCACCGGATCGCTTGTACGGTGCAGCGGTGTGTGTGTCCTCCACCGGCTTCCCTGGGCTCTGCTGTCCTCCGTGTGGGACCGGCACGGTAGGTCTCCCCTGATGGATTCGGAGGGAGATGAGCATGCTTCCAGCCGCTGATCTCTCAGCAATCTCGGTGATCGCTGAGTGTTTGTAAATAATTGAGGACAGAGTATGTTTACTATAGCCTCAATTATGAGGAGATCACTCACTCACCGTTCATTCATAATTGGGGATACAGTCCTCATGTTATAAATGTTATAAAATTCCTGTTCGTTTCTAACAGGGGCTGCAGAAAATGAGATTGAGGATTCTGTGTCCTCAATCTCTTCTATTTTAAAAGGGAAAAATCAGGGGTCTGTTTTACAGCCCCAATATTTCCCCAAAGCCCCTAAAAGTAAAGTAAAAAAATAAAAATATTTACTAAAAATGGATAAATAAATTTATAAAAAAATGTAAAAGTTTATAAAAAAATAAATAAAAATAACGTATTAAAAAAAATGTAAAGTTAAAATTAAAAAAAATTTCGGTTTCAGCCTGACATTTTTTTTTTACATTTCGGTTTTAAAATTTTCATTCCGGTGCAGCTCTATATTTTACACATGCCTAGACTTCAGACTCTGTCATGTTGAAGTGTAGTTTTGAAATCTAGCCATGTGCATGTTTTCCCATAGAGATTAATGATTACTAGGTAGTTGCTTGTTGGTAAGGTGTGGAAGGAGACTCTGCTTTTACTAAACGTGTTTAAAAAATGTCATGAGCCATTTAGAATTTAGATCCAATTTTCCTCCATTTTCACCAGTGAACTGTAAACGCAGAACTACAAGGCTGATAATGGTGACAAATGTGATCCCCCTTTTCCCTCTCATGGTTCCAGCTTGCCTCCCTGTTTTTGTCTTCTCCGGTATAATACCCAGCATTCCAGAAGGGCAGTAGACTGTGCAGCCTTTCACATACAGGGTCCTTTCTGCACAGATGTTACTTCTGTATTGTTAATCTTTCACAAGTTCATGCTATAGTAATAAAGTTTCATCGCTGCAAACGGAGTAAACACTTAACATTACTTTTGTGAGGTTTATTTTGTGCATATGAGAATTTTTCTCTAGTGCAGGGGCCTCCAAACTACAGCCTGTGGGCCACATCCAGCCTGCCAGTCTGCAGCAACCTCAGCTGGCTGTCAGTGGATGTGCTGCAGTGTGTATTGTAATATTGAGACCTGAGCATCAACTGCCAGCCAGACATGACCCTCCCTCAGTTCCCAGCACCGGTTTCCCCCCTCCCTCTGCCGTGCTTGTTTGCCAGGAATGCTGTCATCCTATAAACCAAATATGTGATTAGACTGCCCTTGCCCCCCTCCCATTCACAGAAGGGGCGGACTTATGGGTAAATCTGCTTCACCTAATGACTTCCAACCTGCTGCTCTGCCACCTGAAAAGTAAGTGGGACTCTGCTGGGCACACATTAATGTAATGGGGCATTTTTCTGGGCACACATGGATGTAAGGGGGCATTCTGCTGGGTACACATGCATGTAAGGGGGCACTCTGCTGGGCACACATGCATGTAAGGGGGCACTCTGCTGGGTACACATGGATGTAAGGGGACACTCTGGGTCATCCAAGTGTAGGGGGGGGGGGGGGGGGTGTGGGTCGC